CTCTTTCCTAGCTGGAAAGTAAACACAGTAAACCACAGTCGGCTAATGCTTCAAAAGCAACAAAAAAACTTCGTGTGGCCCAGAGAAACTTTAGATGAGGTTTTGGCAGCCCCGAACTGCACTCTCTAAAAAAACAGTCCAATTGCGTTTGTCAAAGATAATGGAATGATGATGTATTCTTGACTTCAATTTTTTTACCTGTACATTTTTTGATCTGGAAATTCTGCAATTACGTCAGAGTCAATGTTTCAAAGTAAAAGGACTAGTTTGCATTGTAACTTTCCCAATGTAAAATAAGGGTAAATTGCACTGTCAGAAAACAATATTCTTGACATAACATACAGTAACAGTGTAGACAGCGCTGTTACCCAACTTGAACTCCCTGGAGCGGTTCTTTTCACTCCCTCCTCATTGTGAAGGTGGAGAGTCAGTGGGAGGTGACGCAGGTCATTAATGACCTTTTGGCAGCGTCCGAAATTAAGCAAGCAGAACGACACGATAATGGTGTCACAGGATACTCGGTTTACATAAAACGGCACTCTAAAATAATCCAAATGTGTTTGGTGATGTTAATGTCACAGGGTTCACGTTGAGTGTAACACACGGATGGACTGGACAAGCGTGAGCTATGTCTGCGAATGAACCTTTTAGCACCGACACGAGTGACAAAGAGAAGGATTCCGCTCTGTGTGACATGCCACTAAATCTTTTCACTGGCAGCGTTAAAGGACTTTTGACACCTCGGTGGTTCATCAAACTGAATTACTGCTGTTGTATGCCCTGTTAGCCACCCTTGACTAACAACATTCCTGTGGCTCAAAGTTTTTGCGCAAGAGGTCAGTTAGACCAAAATGGTAAAACATTCTTCCTGCATTCAACGAAAGTCAACTTGGACCCTTCACTCCAGAGGAGGGCCATGAATTTTGTTACACTTGCAGAAGGCCAAGCCAACATGCTAACCTCAACTTTGTTCGTATGGAAGCATGGAACTGCCAATGTGGAGTTAGCATTTTTGACTGGCAAATACATTAGAACGTATTTCCAAATACGTTTGAATGTACCTGTAGGCTAAATACGAACAACTTGGCAGTTTTCCCATAATGCATCGCTGCATTATGGGAAAACTGCAGAGTGATTATGTCTGCTGTAAATGATGTCTGTTTGGCATTTTTTTCCCCATGCTGACATGGGGTGTTGACTTGCGTCTGCGCAAGTTTAAAAAAAACAAAACAAAAGAAACGGGGACAATCACAGAGTGTCGTCATAGATTGTGATTGCGGCAAGCTAGCATTCTGTAGTTAGCGAGTCACGCTACTCGGTGTAAACAAACTCTAGTGTTTGGTTCTCCTCCACGACAACTGGAACCATTACTGGCCACCACAATGACGCAAGACCTCTGCTCATTAAATATTGCCTTCATCCAGCGTAATTTAAGGAAAAAAGCCTTCCACCATGCCTTTCTGGCTCTTTTTCGAGGAGATCATTCTTTGTGGTTTTGGGGTTAGAGATTGCTAGCGAGGCGTCAGGGCCCGCTCTTTTGGCTCGCCCAGCCCATTTTCCCCCCTTTTCTCATTATACTCCCACTCTTCCTCCTTCACTTCCTTTGTCAGGAAGCAGTGTTCATGCTTGTTTTAGCAGAAGCTTTGCCAACGCGGTTGCTGAAGGTTACCGAAGGTTACCGAATGAAGGTTAAATACGGTAACCCAACACAGCTGTACCCCTGGAGGGAACCTACCCATGCAGTTCGAGGAGAGAGTGTGGTTTGTGGGTGCAGTCCGCTACAAGACCAGTTTACCTCACACACATAGAACCCACTGAACTGAACACAAAGAGTCGCCACACCACATCAATGCAAGTGCACCGGCACTGTCAATTTCCGAACATGTCATGACTGGGCATGAATGGTCGAGAAAGTTGTTGTACCTTTAACATGAAATAGACGAGCAGATAGTTCATGAAAGAAGCTCTGCGTGACAGATAAGGAACAAACATACTGTTGAAAGAAAACATTTATGACCACTCAGTATGTGTGTGGGAGAGTCGTAAGAGAAGGTCTTTGTTGATAACAGACATGGATGATGCTTTCAAATTATAGACGGGACCAAAGAGATAGAGTCGCAGGATCGAGAGAAGCTCTATTGTGTGAACACTGCATGTTGACGGGGTTTTCCAGCAAACGCCTTTCAGACGTGAATCATAGATGCATGAAACAGTCGCTGGGAATGGGAGTTGGAGAGAGAACAAGACAAAGTTTCTGTGGTTGGCTATGAATCATTAAGAGGAGGAATTTCTCACTCTTTGTTGTAAATGTAAAAACACACAGGAGGAACCTGCTGTGAGCGCAACTGTTTTGTGTATGCTGCCAGAACTGCGATGGGTTTCAACCCTAACTTCTGCCCTAAAACTAATTTTATTTGGCCCACAAAAGCTTTGGGACAAATTTTCTTGACACTTGTTCGAATCTAATTATATCATAAAGATCATAAGAACCAAATGCAGTGGCAATTCTGTAATATGGTAGGGCAATTACTGTATTTGAGTTGCCACACAAACTTTTAGGTAAGGGGCAAGAACACAGTAACTGCATCAGTTGCGAGTATTTAACGCCAACATAAAATAAAAAGAGAAAGAAGAAAAGACTTTTCGCCTTAAATTATTTTAAATTAATTAAATAAGAAACATTAACTGTAGGTGGCCCGTGTTGTTCGTCTCTGTGTGCCCTGCGATTGGCTGGCAACCGGTTCGGGGTGTCTCCTGCCTACTGCCGTTGCAATTTGTGTGTCTGCACATGAGAGCTGTTTCATGTGTTCAATCAGTGTTAACACAATGATACTGGGTTATGTGTCACTTGGAATGTGCATTGAAAGTGACAAATTTGACATATGTACTTTGGAGGTCTTGACATGGTCTCATTTGTTAATTTGGGATACTTTACAGCTCTACTTCATGAAAAACATACTCAAACCTAGATAAACCTACATATACAAACCGAGCAACTGAACATGGAGTCGGGCGGCTTTGATTGACAGCCTGTCACCACCCCGCACAGTAGATGTGCCCTTCCTTTGGCAGCAATGATTTGAACACCAGCTCAGTGACATGTGGCTTTCTGGTCATTAAATCCACCGTGAATCCCCTGCTGAATGGGGAAAAAAATCCTTTAAAAAATGGCCGAATTAGTCCTCAAAAGTCCTGAAAAGGTCCATAAATAAAAAGCAAGTGGAAGAGTGGGAACCCAAACCCCAATCGGCCAAATGCCCTAACCCCAAACGTCCAAACCCCAAACACCCAAACCCCAAACGCCCTAAACCCAAACGCCCAAACTCCAATTGCCCAAACCCCAATCGCTCAAACCCCAAACGCCCAAACCCCAATCGACCAAACCCCAATCGCCCGAACCCCAAATGCCCTGACCCCAAACCCCAATCGCCCAAACCCCAAATGCCCTAACCCCAAACGCCCAAACCCCAATCGCCCAAATCCCAATCGCCCGAACCCCAAACGCCCTAACCCCAAACCCCAATCGCCCAAACCCCAAACGCCCAAACCCCAATCGCCCAAACCCCAATCGCCCGAACCCCAATCGCCCGAACCCCAAACGCCCTAACCCCAAACCCCAATCGCCCAAACCCCAAACGCCCAAACCCCAATCGCCCAAATCCCAATCGCCCGAACCCCAAACGCCCTAACCCCAAACCCCACTCGCCCAAACCCCAAATGCCCTAACCCCAAACGCCCAAACCCCAATCGCCCAAATCCCAATCGCCCCAACCCCAAACGCTCAAACCCCAATCGCCCAAATCTCAATCGCCCGAACCCCACTCACCCAAACCCCAAATGCCCTAACCCCAAACGCCCAAACCCCTGCCCCAACCCCGGGGGGGGAAAAAAAAAAAAAAAAAAAAAAAAGCTCAGGGAAAGTCTACTTGAACATCTCAACTTTATTTGGGGTGAATCAGAAGCACTTTATATGGTAGAAAAACGTTTCTTGGTCTCAAATTTTTACATAACAAAATGGGGGAAAAAAAAAAAAAAAAAAAAAAAAGCTCAGGGAAAGTCTACTTGAACATCTCAACTTTATTTGGGGTGAATCAGAAGCACTTTATATGGTAGAAAAACGTTTCTTGGTCTCAAATTTTTACATCACAAAAAATCTGCCATTTGAACATTGGCGGGGTGACTTTTTATATCCGCAGAATGTACTGCATGTATCATATACTGTACTTGCAAGTGTGTGTGTGTGTGTGTGTGTGTGTGTGTGTGTGTGTGTGTGTGTGTGCCCGCACCAACAGGAAACCCCAAAGTAATAACTCACAACTCCAGTGATGGCCAGGGCATGACACGCCATCCTGGACCGAGCGGTGCTGCTCACAGCTCCAGCAGGCCGTTCAACTGCCACCTGCCAAGCCTTTATCTCCATCCGCCTGGTCTAGAACATGCGTGTCTATGTGGTCACATAAAGTACCGTGTTGCCAGTGGCAAGAGATAAAGTCAAGGATGCATTCGGAAATTGTGTGAAAATAAAGGCATGTTATGTACAGGCCGCCTTGCAATCATACAGACACATCCAATTTTAAATGCATATCTACTCCGGTGAAGGTTTTTGAAAATAATCTTTGGGTTACGTTCAGAGAAAACACGTTAATTTGTCACTTCTCGTATTAGCAGCATCCATACATGTTGCAATATTTTCACCTTTCAAATACCGGTACTTAAAATGAAGTGCTTGAGGTTTGTACATTCCACTCTTACTCTTAAACCCCAAATTAATGATTGCAGAAAATAGAAAATCGCATAAAAAAGGAGAAACATTTTTAATACATTCTATAAATTAGGTAGGAATTAGACTTCTTCAAAGCCTTCTGGCAAAGTGCTTTGTTAGTGAGTTGTTTCACTTTTCATATTGAAACGACTGTTATAAAAATATGTTTATTGTCATAATTTGTGAACCTCACATACAACTGCCCACACACTGGGAAACTGCACTTTTCTTTATTTAACAGTGAACACGGAGTCCAAACTGGGATGCAGCTTGCTCTTGAACGGCATTTTTCCGTCCATCAAATTGTCGTGCTCTCCATGCCCTCTTTTCTTCTCATCCTCTCCTTCCTGTTACCATCCCTATCAAGAGCCAGATGTAACCATCTATTGATTGTGACATTGATTTCCTGGTCTGTGGCCCAAGATGTTAGGCTGTTAGGTCTCACAGCAGCTGTAAGAACTGCAAGAAAACAAGGATGGACATTGTGTTAGCAAAACAAACATTTTTACATGTTATTACCAATGAATGGTCAGTAAAAATAATCCTTGAAGTTTCTTAAACCAGGTGTGACACTGTGGGGTGGAATATTTGCCACCAAAAACTAAATGTGAATAACTTTGATTTAAATCATTTATACCAAATTTGAATTACCAGGACATAAATTGAAGTTAAGGGGCTCGGATAATGGATGGATTTGTATATTTTTATCTGAATAATATTGAATAACTGAATCCGAATTGTACAATTTGAATTTGAAAAGGATAGATTTTTTTTCTTTGAAACTGTATTTGATCCTCACTAAAAATTTAATTCTGTTTATTTTCATATTCAGTCTTACAAATACAAAACTTTTCATTTCAACGTCAGATTTTTTTTAAATTCAGGGAATAATTTTTAAATTAACTTTATGGCCAGGTATGAAGTATCCGGTTTGTATCGCAGCAAACTGAATCAAAATGTATTGTGTATATATATATTTTTTAATCGGAATGGAATTAGCACTAGTTTTCCCCTCGAAAATAACCGATGCATTTTTAAAGGCAGCACAAAGTCACGTGGATATGGGTATCCGTAAGAACATTTCAGGCATTACATACCACTGCACAAAAGGTGTATGCATCATGGTCAAAAAAACATCACAGACGAGGCAAAAACATTACATATCTTCTTTGTCTTATCAACATGGCTGGAGCAAGATAAAACCCTGAGCTGCAATGCTCATAACAACACTGCCCAGACAGGAGACGAAGTCACCAATATGAAAAAACACAAACAAAAAACAAACATGCATCGTTGCCATGCCTACAGTCCACACAAAAACGGCTTTATTATTACTTAAAACCAAACATGTAGGGAACTGATTCATATTGTTGAAGAGTTACATGAGTTATGGTCATTGCCAAGATGTTCTGTTTGTGATAAATTTGATTGCAAAAGTCGCAAATGGATTCCTACTGAAATTTTTATGCGGCCTCAGTATAACTTAAAAACTAAAATGATTACCTTTTGGTCATCATATTCACCTTTTTTCTCAACAAATATCATTTAAGCATGAAATGAGTAACACTTCAGTACAATCATAAGTCTAATTTAATAGCTTTTGGATCTGGACCTGGCATTTGATTATAATTTTTTTAATACTGTCGATATGACTCAAAACAACAAATGAACTGATCACGAGTTCCCTTTTTTGTCTGGAAATATGCATGGAAATAACTCGAAACTGATTCCAATTACATCTTGTGTAAACTGTAGCTTCAGTAGGACCTAATGGCGAAGCGATTAACTCTAGATCATAATCTGCATCAAAAACCTGGGTCAGGGTCATTTTTGTAACCCAGATGATGGAAACTGAACTCAAAACCTTGAGAATGAGTCCCAAGTGAAATCTGGTATGTGGCTCGTCGCCACCACTTGATCCAAGGACCGATTGCATAACTTTTGATCAAGACATGTCAAGTCACTGCAGAAATCGATAAATAAATCCAAACTTGACGTTTGTGTGTGCTCTGCGCTCTACCGAGTGCCACCCCAAGTTTAGAATTGTATGTGGAATTTACGGAATACAGTAAAATGACACTGTAGCTAAACGTATCACAAATCCTCTGTGGCTGAATCCTCTTGGAACGTTGGAGACGTAACATATGATTATGCACACGTCTAAAACGCCACAGCTCTGCATTGCTTTTGCATCATTTTATACAGCTGTAAATAAGCTATACTCAATGTAGAGTTCCTGTCTCATGTCTCCTTCGACTGTTCCAGTCTGCCAGCAGCGCTGATAAAACTGTTTAGACTGCCTAATCTGTAGATGTGCTGCTGGGAAAGAAAAAAAAAAGGCTCTGTTGTGTTTTGGTCACAAAGCGGAGCAAGGGAAAGACGAGGATGGAGTGCGCTAGGACACGTAGAAACGAGCCTCACGTCATTGTTGTAGCGACAAAAGGAGATAAGACGTGAACCCGCTAAAAGTCAGTCATGGTGGAGGGAGTACCATACATGGAATTACTGTCATGTGAAGGACAACAAAATACACTGTATATTAAGGGGGGAGGGGAGGGGGAGACATATGGAAACATTGTAATTGTTCTAATACACATATTTAGCTGTCTGGAGCACGTGCCTGCCCAGCAAGGGTGATTTAAAAAAAAAAAATACTGTCAATCTTTAGTTTTCTGCATATTTCTGAAATGTGCACTTGTTCGCCACAGTTCCATATGGTGAGTGTGGGATGGAAGGGCAGATAAGTACAAACATGGCTGCACACAACACATTTTGGACCGGTTTACAAAGTGACACCAGAGGTTGTTGCCTAGTACTCATTTTTTTTCTCGGCCAGAGCAACTGCAGTTTACCTACTGTGTTTGGGAATTTGGCAGACCATGTTGTGCCTCGCTACCTACCTAAACCTATCAGTCACCCCTCAAAAAGGCCTGTGGTGGGCTGTCTCGCGGCTTCATGTTGCAAGTAGTCCGGTGTTCCTCCCCAGTAACCACAAGTGACTGACAGATGTGCCAGACTGCATTTAAAAAAAAAAAAAAGTATAAACGGTTCTTATGGAATCTTGAATGGAAACATAAGTAGTGGACCATCTGCGTTAGGGGCAGGTGGAGCAGCGTTACTGGGATTTGGAGTTTCCAGACTTTGTGATTATAAACATTTTCCATTATTGATCTATTGGCCGGAATTGGATGTGACATACAGAAGGTTCGTCTCACTGACCAAGGGCGTGACCTTTTCTGTACAGTTTCTATCAACCCGTGGCCAGACGGATTTGGGAAACAAACTCTTCTGTAAGGCGCTGACTGAACCGAATAAACACATTAATTGAAGTCAAACCACCAAAAAAAAAAAAAGTAACACACATTAGTGGCTCCACTTCACGCTTTCATGTAAATGTATTATGTAAGCGAATGCTGGACCAGTATGTAAGTGAGATTAATGAACGGTGCCTCCGCACGGCACTCTGGATGAATGCTTGCACGTGTGTGGGGCTTTTGCCTTACGTTGCGATCAATTTACTGAACTGGAAATAGATTTGACTCCGTAGAGCCATATTATTTTAATGTCCCTGTGACTTTTAAAAATGCCGTAACAGTCTCCTCCCAGTTCATTTAGAAAGAGGCCGAGTTTTGTTATGTTAAAAAGACCTGCCCAGATTTGTTGCCAAGATAACTGCAGAAGTGGAAAGACCTGCCAAGAAGTTTGTTTTCTATGGACAATTTGAAAGCCTCACCAAGAAGGGGTACATGGCAACGGATCAGTCATACATCGTAGGGATATCCAAGATTTAAATATTCCCCCTAAAAAACAAATACAATTATTAAATCCAGCTGTAATATTGAGCGACCTCCATAGTTGTCCAAAAGCAAAAGAAAGACACCAGGACCTAAAGAGATGTTCATCTCTCGCTGAACTGACTTGCTAAGCCCCAGTGAAATGAGAAAAGACGCAGTGGGCAAGACAGTTGGTGCAGTAAAAATGTATATTTGGGCAAAAAGGCAAAGCACACAGATTACCAGAAAAACACGTCCGTAAGACTTTGTGTGTCGCGTAGGCTAGGCTAACCAGTTGTCCTGTTGTTCCGGCTTTTTGATCCGTGACGTGAGTTGCGTCGGCGCTGATTGGTTGAAATCACGTGCGTACGTGCTCGCGCCAACGTGCGCACAGCAGAGAGTGGAGGACCATCGACAGCTGAGGCGCGATTCACTCAAGTGGTGTTGCTACAGAGCCCACCTCCTGGATCCGAAGTCGGCATAGGCGACGAAGGAAATCCCCCCCCCCCGCAAAAAAAGTCTAATAAATTCGAATGATTTAAAAAAAAAAAAAATGAATAAACAAAACACCCAGTTTATAAAATGAGTCTTCAAAATCGTTACAAATCAAGCCTTTATCTCCACTTTCAAATGCTGAAGGTGTGTTCGCTCAATGTTAATTCTGAAAAATTGGTGCTAATTTTATGCGTAACTCTATTATGCCAACACATGTTTGCGCCCCGAAATATATCCGCTTAAATCTGCTCGTGGCTGGAATACTGTATATCCAATGGGTTGTCGCACGGCTTTCCATACCACAAGATGTGTTAGCCACCAGCTAGCTCATGAGCTAACAGGCTTCCCCGGGCGGTGTGCTTCATTCGCTGCATCACTTCCTTGCGTGGGAATTTAGATCAGGACACCAAGCTGTTCTATATATTAGGGCATCCGAGAAAGATGCATTATGGGTATCCAGGCATACTAGCTATCTTACTGCATGTTGTATTGATAAAAATTTGCTTCGTAATAGCTAAGTAATTCACAATTACCAGTCTACTGCCCACTCCAAAAGCTCGTCAACGTATTAATGTTCCAAACTGTGTGTTTATTTAAAAGTTGAAAATTAGTCCTAAGCCACAGTAAAATTATGTGAGTTCCTTAGGCCATGCCCAAACTCAAATATTGCGAACTACTGAACAAATGAAAATATAACCGAGTTGAAGGAGGTAAGAAAACAAGCACACTACAACAATCCTACTCCAGAAGATTTATGTCTTCCTGTGTGTGTCGATGTAGCACCTCCGGGACCTGCAGCTTTTCCTCCACTAAAAAGGTCAACAGCGAGTGGTCAAGCGCTGTCTGTCAAAGACAAGACGATAGAGACGCCGGCCTCAGATCGACAACCACTATACCACAGTCAGCGCTCAAGATAAACAAATCCGTCGCCGCAGTCCGCTGTGCCGCCTTGTACGGTTGTGTGTGGAGAGTAAAAGGTCATTAATTACGAACAACCCTTGAGGTGGGGGGTTGGAGGGTCCGAAATATGTGACACACAATAGCGAAAGTGTCCCTCAGCTGACATATAAAACATCACAGCAGTGTGACTTGTGTTTTGTTGACGCGCCGTGCACCCATGATGCTTTGGTTAGTCATGCTGATGGTGAGTTTCTCTTTTGTCTGCTGGAGAACAACCTTTTATTGGATTTGCTTCCGATTAAAGATGTGTGTGAGTCATCTCAGGGGAAATACTCAACTTAGTTAAATGTGGACTTAAATTTTAAAAGCTTCTCTTGTGAAGTCAGCACAAAGACAAAAGGGAAGTCTTGAAATATGTACTTAGTGTCAAAGTCTTTGCAAATGTCCTTGGCCGTGTTCTTCCTGATGCTGGCCGCTTTGCTCGCAAACTTTCCATCTGTATCCCATCGAGCTCTGGGCAGATTGGGCTCGAAGGAGAGCTGTAAAAATGAATGAGACGGATTTAATAGCCGCTGTCATTCAAGCAATCTGTGTGATAGATCATCACACCTGACAATGTACTTAAGGGAACGCAGACACAGCATTAAATGGGGGAAATAAAACATGCCATAAATGATTACTGTACGGTGCGCATGCAAGACACTTGCAATTGCTCTTCGGGGAAAACAAATGTGCACCATTTCAACTTGCATTTTAGACTTTTGTAAGGTTTTAGTGGCTGTCTTATCTGACTTTTTTTTTTCTTGTAAGCAATACTGGCATCATCACAACTGTGGAAGCTCAATGTGAATCATAAATCTGGCAGACATGCTGCAGGGAATAGTCTATATTTCACCCTGACGTGCACCGACATGCGAATAGCAACAGAAATGCTGTGCTTGGCTATATATAGTGGGTCAGGAACGATAACGTCAGCATCCTCCAGACACGAACATCTGTTCTGTTTGAAACAACAGAACACGGCGACATGCACCTTCCACCTTCGAATGTTTGTGCCTCCAATCTACATACCCTCAAATAAGGTCACAGATCAATTTGGCCATCTCTGGCATCTCACTTTTTTTTCGGAAATAGTGGCGTGAGGTGTTTATGTGGGTTGCCAATGACGGGTATGACCCCGTCATTTAGAATGAACTGTAAATCATTGGCATACACAAGGCAGTGAGATTAAAACTGGTCGGCGCGCACGTTGTCATGAATCCGACGATGATTTTGGATATCCGCCAGTCTTGTGTGTAGAGTAATAACATTTCAATACTTGTATTAGTGAATGAGGCTCCAGTAACGACAGCTCTGATGGGTTTGATCGATGGAACCGAAAGGACGACTGGAAAATATTTGACTTCATCCGTTACTGGAACCACAAACTGATATACACGACGCGCAGCGTGTTCTCGAGGGGACGTTTAGCAGATCGCTTTATAATGCCTTGTCTATCCACACGTTATTCTTCACGTCGCATGTCTTTCATGTTGAAGGAGACCATGGGACTAAAGGAGTCGACCGAAGGTGAGCATGTGTGACTTACCGTATCCTGCATAACCAGCGAGATGTGAGCGAAGTACAGTGGGACAGTCTCCAAAAGTGGTCCAACGTGGTGTTCATTCAAAATGTTGTGAAAGGATAAGAAAAGTCAATGCGTGAAGTCATGTGATTTAAATAAATCAATGGAAGCAAATAATTTTTTTGTCAGTGAAAATGGACACGGTGACTCAACACTCAAACACCTCCTTTCTCCCTCTCCATAAACCAAATTCTAAGTCGTTTTTACTTTGTTTTAGCGCTACTCACTTTGTTTTAAAGACAGTTGTCAACATTCCATGACACTTGTAGGACAATCTTACTAAACAACGTGAACGTTTTACGAAATAATTGGTGATGGTGACTGTCAGAGCCTGAATCAAGTGAATTCGTGTTACAAATGCGTTTGGAAGTCAACTGTGTTTGACTTTGGAGGCTCCACCATAAATTTACAAAGAACAGTCGGGAGCGACTTTAGTTTGCTTTGACCTCCACTCACCACTCCCCTAAACACGGACACATGCATACACCTGCCTGCAGGACAGGATGTCCAGTGAGGCACGGGTGCGTTCCATTCACAGAAAAGGTAAACATTCCCGGGACACTCATCATGTGCAGGTGCACATAAAGTGCACGTGACGATTTATATTCCCCGTTTTTTCTGCTTGCTATTAAATACAAAAGTCAACACGCTGGGGCCCAATTAACATCGTCTAGCCCTCCACAAGGGAGGAAGCACTACACACAGACGGGAGGTGCACTGTAAGTATACGTCTCAAAACCAACTTTATCACAGGCCCTATTTGCAATGTGCAAGTCTTTATATAGGTTCAAAAAAAGAATGACGAGAAAAGAAAGGAAAAATATAGTGCGTGCCGAGCCGGACAGCTCATCAGTCATTATAGTCACACAAGGGTATAAATCACATGTGCAAATGTCAGCATCATGCACCTCTGAGTTTTACTGCTCTCAGAAGGAAACTAATAGCATCTCACTTTCTTTATGGAGGATAACGTTCTTGCTTTATTTCAAGTGAGCGTCAACAGAAGAAACAAGAGATCTTGGATGATCTTTTCTCTACCTTCATACAACATTATATGCTCTCCAGCCTATCCACAACCGATGCCTTGTTTTGGTCCGTCTCCCACTGGAGCAGGTGATAAAGCAAAGCACGTTTTGACTTCTGTTTAATGGGAATACAGTATTCATTTTCATTACTGTATTTTGATCCATGTGGAGGCACGCTGCTGATGGGTTTTAAACAGAGACATCAGTTTACCAAGTGGACAACTGCACCTTGAACAGTAGCGACAAAAAGTAGTAGAAAAAAAAAATGTCCGCAATCAGATGTGCAACTGATTGATGTGTTGCAAACACTCGACTAGGTTGCCTGTAGGTGAAATTATTCGAATTACATGATGCCTCAATTCCATTAGATGCTGGTTCAGCAAAACTAAGTACCGGATACAGTCATCTTCTGTGGCTTGGGAACATATTGTGAAGAGGCTAATAAATTGCTTTTTGCCTATGTCACTCACGTCACTCATAGAAATCTGCATACCTTTTTTTTTTTTTCCCCTATTGATGTGTTGCAAACACTCGACTAGGTTGCCTGTAGGTGAAATTATTCGAATTACATGATGCCTCAATTCCATTAGATGCTGGTTCAGCAAAACTAAGTACCGGATACAGTCATCTTCTGTGGCTTGGGAACATATTGTGAAGAGGCTAATAAATTGCTTTTTGCCTATGTCACTCACGTCACTCATAGAAATCTGCATACCTTTTTTTTTTTTTGCCTGCTTCTCTTCCTTTCTTCTTTTTCTAGACTGGGTACTCATTGCTTTTACTGTACTTTGATCCATGATCTTAATTTCAGTTTCGACATGAGTACGTTGTGTCAACACCTCCGTCAGTTCACTCGTCAATTAATCGGAGTCGGGTTTCACGTGACGAAAACAAATTTACGTCTATGGTCTATTTTAATTATTAATGCAATTTATTTGGAAAAAGTTTGTGTTGGTGGCCTGCCATGGGTCGGTGCTTTGCCTTGCCCCCGCCCCCTCCTGCGAACCCGCATACTGTCTGGAGAGGTCCAGCTGTATCAAAATTTGTCTTCACCAGAAATTATTTGGTCACAATATGTTTGCTTTATAAGTCAAATCCATTCCTCTTGCCGTGGCTCATCTCAACTTTAAATAAACGTTACCATATTTGATGGTTTAGTAACAGACTTTCTAAAAAAAAATGCATCTCTTTCATAGAAATGACGTTGATTTAATTTATGTTTTTATTATTTTGATTCTATTTCTATATTATCTGATTATAGAACGGCCTCTGGTCACCAAGTTCTAATGTCCTGCATGAGCTGGACAACTTTGGTAAGAATTTGTTGAGAAATGTGGAAGGATTAACAAACACATTCTGTACACAAAAAAACTTAATTTATTGTTGGTTTACGTTAAAACAAAATTCTCCCTACCCCCTAAAAATGTATTACCTCGACAGTTTCGTTCCTTGGCCGTTGAGATCCACGGATGTCAGAAACTCCAGCGTGAAGTCGCAGCGTCCTCTGTCGTCGAAACAATATGCTGGCAGGGTTCTTCTTTTCCTATTGGACGACATTGAGCACGTGATCAAAACACAATCATGGCCGCCTCCGCTGTAGTACGCTCGAGCGTGGGGCTGACTTTCAGACTTTCGCGAGTTTTACCGGACTGTAGCACTTGTCCTTTATCCAGGTTAAAGACGTGCACGGCTCATCTACAGAAGAAAGACTCCGTGGGCACCTTTCGTACCATCAATCGGTTTGTGCAGACGAGTGTAGGTGAGTGCTTCTCTTTGCTAGTGCCTTTTTGTCTTTTAATTTTAACGTCTCTCGCTTTATGGCGACGAATGCATGATGATAATTTAACGTCCTTTTTGCAAATGTTCAGAGGCTAATGCTTATGCATATATCAGCACTTACTCAAGCGTACCATGAGTAATGCTTGTGTAACCTCACTCTCGTGGCGTTGTGAAACCTTGTGCAAAAAGTGAATTATTCTCATGACGTTTTCCCCTGTGTTTATCTCTGAGAGCAGAAGTACTTAGTGGTCTTGTATCCTTGTATTAAGGTTCATACCACAGTGAGGAAGGCAGCACAGATGAAGAGAACCAAGACAATGTGTAAGTCTCCAATGTCGACCAATTTTATTAAAGCTCACGTAAACCAACGAAATAACTATAAACTTACATCGAAATAAAAACATTTTCGTTCACGAAATAAATGAAAAAAGGCGAGTTGGTGTTTTATTAGTGCAAAACAACAACCGAAACTCATTGGCGCCTCGTCAATAGAGGGCGCTCGGGCACCTACCTACAACCCAGCCGAGTCACAGTGACAGGGACAAAAAATGAATGTCGTTAAAAATTCAAAATGAAATACTGTACCATAATAAAAATCCGGTTGGGGACAATGCTTTAAACCACAGAAGATGAAATAAAAAGTATGATACAAATGGAAGACTAATCCTGACAAACATATATGACCTAGAAGTCGCTTTCATCCAAACATTTCCTCTAACTTTGACTTCACTGAAATTCTGTGTTAGCATTAGCTTAACAGCACCTTATGACTTGCATCCAGTTACGCCGATGCCATACAAATAGAACACCTGAACCAAGGAGCCCTTTTAATTACATATTTCCTTGAGCTGTATTTACTGCTTTTCAGGGTCAATGTGGTGTATGTTGACCGGTCCGGCCAAAGGATCCCAGTTAGAGCTCAAGTGGGAGACAATATTTTGTACTTAGCTCACAAGAATGGAATCGAACTAGAAGGTGGGTGTTTAAGTTTGCCTTTAAAAAGATAAGTATCATTCATTTAGCATGAAACAAAATACAATTACTATAATAAACAGTTACATGAATAACTCATAAAAGACTGTAATTATCTTTGTTATGGCTAAATGTGAGAGCGTAATACCGTCGCCGGTGATGTTGCAATCAAACACATGATCGAATCGTCGTTCTGTTTATTTCCCATTCAGGGGCGTGTGAGGCATCATTGGCCTGTTCAACATGTCACGTGTATGTAAGCAGCGACTATTTCGACAAACTACCCGAACCACTTGAGAGGTAGGTGTGCCTTAGTTGTATTTTGGGAACTTTTCATTAAATGGTGGCAAATTTGAGATGGAGTGAAAATCGCATGCAGTAATACACCCACTTTTTAGGGAGGATGACATGTTGGACATGGCTCCCATGCTCCAGGAGAACTCCCGGCTAGGGTGCCAGATCATTCTCACCCCAGAGCTGGAGGGCATGGAGGTGACTTTACCCAAAGTCACGAGGAACTTCTATGTGGACGGACATGTTCCCAAACCCCATTGAGCAGACACGCTGATGGTGAAGGTGGGATTGAGAGGGGCCGGCCCAGCAAACGAGAAGTCATGCTTGGAAGGGAGCAGGTTACCTGTGAAGAAATCTACAGCGTGAGAAGTCTGTAGGCACCGCCCTGAAGATCTTGACTGATCAGATAATAACAGTTTACTGAGGTGGGCCTGCAGACCTTTGCAGAATTCAATGAACTCAATGGTTACTTACACATAATGTCTTTTCATTTATGTGTGATGTGCTCGGGCCAGCATTGAGACAGCGCACAATTTCACAATTTTTTATTATTTTTTTTGTTAAAAAACAAAAACCTAAACATTCAAATTTAGAGACCTTAGTTAGACAAAGTTCATCCTTCCAAAGGAGTATTAGAGCCACACTGAGAAGAAAATTAGATCAAGTGGGGGAAGCACCTTTGAGAAAAAGTAATAATAAAATGGTAATATAATAACACCATATTTTTGATGAATAAAGTTGTAGCCATCTATAAATCGGTAATATGAAATATGTGCCAAAGTCGGACAGATGATTGAATTTAAATCAACAAATGTTTTCTAAAATCACATTAGAGTGATCATAGTGACGGTGGTGTTAATCTGCCAAAATATATTCTCTTTCACTGATTTGTCAAATTTTATCCATCAAGTGTAAGACCTTATCTTTAAATTTTTTGGGGGGGCAAATTCGCAACTATCATACTATTCTGAATTCATTGAATTACAAACATTTTTGTGTACGTCTTTGTTCTCGTCATACTTTTTTTCCCCAGCGTGCCACTAATACTCCTTCATAAAACTGTGCTGATGAATGGAACATTCCTTGCGATAGCTCTTATATGCAGTCTTGCCGTAAAATGCTCGTCATTTCACCTGGACAATCACTCATACACTATCATGCATTTCGTTGGTATTTGTGGGCAATATGACTGCGCTTCAGTCAAAGTCCTTCTGTAAAATCCCAATAAACATTTCAAATGTCCTGTAAAAATGGGCTTCCCTTTAGGAGTGTGCTGACCAGCTGACACTGACGTGATGCTGCTGTGTTCTGAAACAAAATTGCAACATGCTGCCAATGAAGGAGTTTTCCAGGTTAAAATCTGTTTATTTGTCAAGTCTACTGTACATGTCCAACCTACACACACTTTTAAGTCACTAATGTATGGCATATATCAAGTATTTAAAATTGTGCAATAAAGTACTCTTTTAAAGCTGTATTGAATAAACATTTTCTCTACCTGTTTCGGGTGCAAGCTAAATTGCTCTGAATCTGTAAACAACAGTAAATTTGTTGTAGTAGCACCAGTAGTAAGTAATCTCTGTCAAAGACGGGATTGCATATTTATATTCATCTTGCATATTGTATGCCAACCTATCCTTTTACTGTCTAACCAACCTGCTAGACACACATACATACATACATACACACATACATACATACATACATATATATATATATATATATATATATATA